CAGATGAAGAAAGTGTTGTGTCTGGCGGTGGCCGTCGGACACGTGGACATGCCGTCTGACGAATTGGCGCAGAACATCAACTTAACCATCAATTTCTTGGTGTCGCTCCTCAAGAAGAACTGGCAGAACATCCGTTCCCTTCACATCAAGTCAACAATGGGTCCGCCGCAGAGACTCTACTAAAAGGGCTCATGTATTATGAATTGAAATTAGGGTTTATGTCATGTTTTCGGACAATTGAATAAATGCTGTTTTGCAGTAAATTTATTTTGTGTACATTTTATTTACAATCATTTATTTTATAAAATTATTTGAAGAGGTCGTCGTCTAACATGACTCGACCCAACTGTCCCTTTCGAAAGGCCGTCACAAACTGTTGTGCTGTATGTTCCACATCCGGTCTCTTAACCATTTGACCTTAAAATGATATATAATTGCATTCATAATTAAGACCATATACTCTATGGTATTGAATAATAATAGTCTTAAGACTAAATACCTTTTTCTAAGGATTTGTGTTCAACTATATTTTGGAGATAAACTGATCCTTTGACTAAAACTTCTGTGATATCATCTGAAGGTGTGTCGAGTCCTAACAATTTGACATATCTGTGATTATTGTGTCGATTTAACCAATAAAGTATATAATCGGCTATAGTCTTGTAACCAATCAGTTGATCCGAAAGTGTGGCTAAAATGCAAATTTTGGATTAACAAAAACCTCTAAAGAGGTCCAATACTGACCACAAACAGCACATCTCATAATTGTTTCCAAGCCCTTGTCTATTCTGGGCTCAAGAACTCCGGGAGTGTCGTACAGGTAGACGGGAGGGTTGGCATTGATTTTGATGCGCTCCAACACACTTCTGGTGACGCCAGCTATGGCACCGGTAGTCGTGGCCTTTCCCGACACTCTTAGGTTTGTATTCCTTAACTTATTAATGATTGTAGACTTTCCCACGTTTGGGATCCCCATTACCATCAAATTAAAACCATTGAAGTCCTCTCTATTGAACCGATCGGAGTCACGAATCACTTCTATAATTGTGGGCAAAATCTGAACACAAAAATCAAATATAGTTTCTCAAGACTTTTAGACTCAATCATTCAATGATTACTTCAGGAAAGCCATTAACTCTTGTGTTGGGGTTAAGAGAGTCGACAAAAATACAGCGACTATTGCTGTCTTCACTTTGAAAGCGCTCTTTGATTCTTCTTTGATACCTAATGTCCATTAGATCTGATTTATTCAGTATAAGGATATGCGGCTTAAGTGAAGACAATCTGCGGATGAGGTCTTTATTGCGTCCACTCAATGGTATCCGTGAGTCGTGCACTTCCACCAAACAGTCCACTTTGCGAAGAGTTTGCATCATTTCACGCATCCCTGCCATCAATGCCAACATCAGACACACCATTCACTCAACGTCTTCATACAATCAAATGGTATCCGTGAGTCGTGCACTTCCACCAAACAGTCCACTTTGCGAAGAGTTTGCATCATTTCACGCATCCCTGCCATCAATGCCAACATCAGACACACCATTCACTCAACGTCTTCATACAATCATTACAAACCTCTGTTCATATGTCTTGGGAACCATTTGAGGATCGCAGTCTTCAGCTCGAAGTGAGACCTGAGTACGAGTTCTTTCGTGGCCAAAGACATTGTCTAAATTGTGGTGATATGACAGTTGGACCCTTGGATGTGATGATGTGATAGTGAGTGAAGGACTGTTTGCAAACTTTGCATCACTTGCTGTCAAACACAACAAATACACGTGACTTGAGTGCAGTGAACGCTGTTTAGCAGTAAATCTACAGAATCTGTTGATAAACCTATGAAAGGTATGCAGCATAGGAGTCCTATACTTATCGTGTAATTGTTATAATGTTTTATTTAAATGTCATTTACTCAATATTTGAACGATAAACAGTTTTATAAGTTTCGTAAATCAAACATACATGTATTTCAGCAAATCAACATCATAAGTTATGATTCATAACTCAAATGAACCAGGTCCCTAATTTTATTCTATAGCTAACTTATACCGTAAAAATGTATTCAGAATTTGAAACTTATTTTTGGATTTATTTGAGATCAAATAAATTGATTGAATTTTAACCCGTATTTTCGATTCAACTATTAATATCCATATAATGTACAGTATTTTATTATTTCTGTAATTAACATGCAAATTCTTGTGTACTGTTTTATATCAAGATCATTTTTACAACTGAATATAATCCATATGAATCTTATGATATGATAGAACCTACAGTATATGATTTATTTTACTATTGAATATGAATAGTTCAAGAATTATTACTATTTTTGAGATTAATGAGTTTTAGCAAACAATTTCAACTGAAAAGTACTGTAACATAATCTCACAAAACGCAATTGAATTGTTAAATGTATTGAAAAAGAGTTTGTCTAATTGTAAGCACTAACATTTGCAAAGGGNAGTGGTGCAGTGAAGCCCACAGCCTATGAATCGCGTGTTGAGTGATTGAGTGCGGAATCCGTGCCTTTAGTGGCGAACTGTAAGGGAGTTGTGATTCAGTGTTCCCTACAAACAGTCGACACTCCACTCACCCCTCACTTACACCACCAACACATCAATCATTGGATCCATCATTCAATCATCACTTCACACATTATCTCATTATCTCATCCAAAGAGCACTCATTTGTGAGCAGATAATTGCTTTGACGGCAAGAATCGAGTGAATAGGAGGACAAGTGATTGAAAGGCAAGACCTGTTGAAAGCGAATCAATTGGTGTGACTCCGGAGGATGTCTTCTGTAAGCAAAGAGCAGAAGCTGTTGGATCTGATAGAGAAGAGCGGGTATAACATCGTGCAGGAGAACGGCCAGAGAGTGTTCGGTCCGCCGCCCGATTGGCCACAGAGTCGACCGCCGCCTCAGAAGGGATGTGAGGTCTTTGTGGGCAAAATCCCGCGCGACTGCTATGAGGATGAGTTGGTGCCACTCCTCACCCAAATCGGACCCATCTATCAGTTGCGGCTTATGATGGACTTCAGCGGAACCAACAGAGGCTACGCGTTCGCCACTTATACCAACCAAACCGATGCCAACAAAGCCATCAAAGAGCTGAACAACTGTCAGATCAGAGCCAACAAACGCATCGGAGTCGTCAAGAGTCTCGACAACTGTCGCCTATTCATCGGTAATATCCCTCTCAACAGAACCCGAATGGATGTCATCGAAGAGCTCTCCAAAGAGACAGAAGGAGTGGTGAATGCAATCGTTTACAACAATTACAATAAACTCGATAAACAGTACAGAAATCGCGGCTTTGCTTTCGTTGAGTACAAGACTCATCGGTAGGTCTCACACAATGTCTCATAACTGACCACTTCTTTAATGACTGTTTGCTTTTATTGACATCCAAAGTGATGCCGCAATGGCTCGAAGAAAGTTATTGCCGGGTATTACACAGACTCTCGTTTCCGGTAGTTTTGAGTTACTAATCATTTTATGAGTATTTCAGGCAAAATCAAACTTTTTGATTGTGAGATAAGCGTCGACTGGGCTGTCCCGGAGCCTAATCTCGACGATGAGATCATGTCTAAGGTAACCATAGATTTGACAAATATATGAATCCAAACGAAAGCTATTTTGAGTAATTTTTATGCTTTTGTGTTGCTTTTGAAAATATGAAAGCTTTATAAGATTACTGAAAAAGCAGAGCTTTAACGCATAAAATATAGATTCTCATGATGTATGTGATGTTGACTTCAGGTTGAGGTTCTATTTGTGCGGCATTTGAGCGCCGATTGCACTGAAGATATGATTAAAAACATATTTGCGTTGAAAAGTCCGCCGAAAATAAACGTCCAGAAAGTGAAGAAACTCAAGAATTATGCGTTCGTTCACTACTTCAATCGCGAGGACGCAGAGCTCGCCCTCCAGACTCTGTCCAGTATTTCAAACAAATAATGCGCTTATATTTGGCATCAATTGCTTACAATTGACTTAATTTTCAGAATCAGATTTGCGATCCACTGGTCTGACTGATGAGGGCCAGCACCTGGAGATCACTTGGGCTAAGCCACCAAATCTGGTCAACAATTTCCAGCGACGAAAGAAGCGCTTCTTTGGCTCCGGAAACTGTGGCGGCGATGGCATTGGGATTAACGTCAAAACCAATCCATTCTCTCCACATAACGGCCAACTCATGAGCTCCGGAATGTCCCCTCAATTCGAGTATAACAACAACTCATCCAAACACTTGACGCCCAACTTCTGTATGAATTCTGTGACTAATTCTCAATTTACATTATTAGCTATTATTTCATGTGTTTATATGGTGTAGACTCGAGTCTAATGAGCGGTGACTCCAATAACTGGAATAACGTGCGAAACAGTCCGACAGTCCTTATGCCGGGTTTGCGACACAACTCTCGAAACAACGGCACTGCGAACGGCAACACCACTCCCGTCTGGTATTCATTTGAGAATCAGTACCCATGGCTTCCCATTCCTGTTGTCCGTTCGCCGCAAACCATTGGTGTATTCCGATCGCCACAACCCTATGGAGTGTTTCCCCATTAATCCATTCATACGACTCTTGATTTGCTGTCCACTTCAGCCACACTTTGCTTTTCATTCAATGAATTCAAAACATTTAAACATTTATTATGAATTCAAATTCATTGTCTTTTATAGTATTCTTCTAAAAAGTTTTACTTTTTCCACACAAATATTTTGATCGCAATTTTAGTACTTATCGGTTTCAACTGATGTTTTAATTAATGTTTTAAACTAATTTTTAACTTTAATCTTTATTCTATACTCGGTATGTATGCTCACCGGTTTATTATTATCATACGAATTATTCATTGAATTACTCTTTACATTATATGTATTCCTTTTCCGTTAATATAACCATTTTTAATAAAGTGTTTTTTGAACAACAAAATTAAGAAAGTTTTATGATATGGTAACTGTAATAATTGGATTTAATAACATGTAAAATGAATAGAGTACCAAATCGTGCTGGATATTACTGCATTTGTTAATACGGTAATAATTTATTCAATTTGACAATAGATATGAAAATCATTGTTGGAATACATCTGAATCATGTAGATGTGTTTTCAATTGCTACTGTATGCAGTAATTAACGGAATAATTATTTTGAACATTCACCAGAATGTATGTGATATGCCTTCCCTTTGCAAATGTTAGTGCTTACAATTAGACAAACTCTTTTTCAATACATTTAACAATTCAATTGCGTTTTGTGAGATTATGTTACAGTACTTTTCAGTTGAAATTGTTTGCTAAAACTCATTAAT